GGTACCCAACGTAAGAAGATGCGTTTGGCCAACGAGGAGGAGATCGATCGTGCTGTCTACGCTTGGTTCCTCGCTCTCCGACAACATGGAGTACCACTTTCCGGACCTCTCATCCAAGCTCAGGCTGAAGCTTTCGCCCGACAGATCTACGGTCCTGAATGTACCTTCAAAGCCAGTCATGGTTGGTTCTGGCGTTGGCAAAAACGTCATGGTATCTCCAGCCAACGTATCTACGGTGAAGGTGGCCTCCCCACCGAGCCTGATCGAGCTCCTGCCACCTGCTCTGAGACCTTACCCGTGCCGGCGACTGATGCCGGTGGCTACGGCGATGAGCAGATCTACAACGCCAACGTCACTGGGCTCTACTGGAAGCTGTTGCCAGGACAAGCTGGTGGGACAACAGTGACAGCGCGGCGTCGGCCAGCTCCTCGTGAGCGGGTCACCGTGCTGCTGGCTGCTAATTTAACCGGCTCCCACAAGCTCAAACCATTGGTGATTGGAGGCCTTCGTGATCCTCCCAGCCTCCGTCATCACAACCAGGACAAATTCCCCGCTTGTTACCGCTACAGCCCTGAAGCCAGGTTGGGTCCAGCTCTTCTCCGAGCTTGGTTCTTTGAGGACTTTGTGCCGGGTGTCAAACGCTACCTGCGCCGCAGCTGCCTGCAGCAGAAGGCTGTGTTGCTGCTCAGCTCCCCACCACCCCCAACTGGGACAGGTCCTGAGGAATCCCCACCTCTGCAGACACCTGATGGCTCCATCCGTGCCCTTTTCCTCTCCAAGGGTCCTGCTGGGAATGGCTCAGCTGGAGGAGGAGGTCGAATCCCAGCCCCGCTGGAGCAGGGGGTGGTATCCGCCTTCAAGCAGCTCTACAAGCGGGAATTGTTGCGCCTGGCCGTCTCGTGCGCGACCGGTGGCAGCAGCTCTGGTGGCCCCATGGACTTTGTACAATCTTTTCTCCTCAAGGATATGTTGTACTTGGCCGGCCTCTCCTGGGACCTCATTCCCCCTGGTTCCATCGAGAAGTGTTGGCTGTTGGGGCTCCGCGCTGCCTTCGAGCCCCAGCCTGGGGAGGAAGAGCATGGTGCCTCCCCGCGTGGGGAGGAAGGCAGTGGGGACAGCAAAGTCTTCAGTGACCTGACCCACTTGGCCGCGTTGGCCTACAAGCGCTTGGCTCCTGAGGAGGTGGCCGACTGGTTGCACTTGGATGATGTAGCTCCGGGTACGGAGGAGGATGATGGGGAAGAGGACGCTGAGGAGGAAGGCTCTGGGGGCTGTGGGGTAGAGGAGGATGAGGAGGATGAGGCAGCTGCTGGAGATGGGGGTGGCAGAAGGGATGGGGAAGGAGGAGATGTCTTGCTGCCCACAGCTCGAGAAGCCATCAAAGGTCTGGAGACGGCGTTACGCTGGTTGGAGGGTCAGGACCCCCGGCAAGTGGGGCCGTTGAAGCTGGTGCAGCTCCGTTCCCTCATCAGCATGGCCCAGCGGCTTCACCGCGGTGGCAGCCCACGTTCCTAGGGCAGGGTGACCCGTGACCTCTCGGCTACCAACCACCCTGCTTGGGGGCAAGGGGATATGGGGCTGGGGACACCCTGGTTGTCCCAGGGGGATGGCAGAGGAGATGCCAGCTCCCCTCACCCCGCTGTCATGAGCAGTCCCCAGGGCTCAGGAGGCCTGAACCCCCCCCCCCAGGTTATAATTTAGGGCTAATGGGGGGGGTTTTATGCAATAACCCCTGCATACATCAGGTCTTCGAGGGATGTTCCTCACCCTAAATATCTTTAGGAGGTGCTATTTTTTTTTAGATCACATGAGAACTGAGCAGAGGTGGCCCCTTGGTCACTGGTACCACTAGAAGGGGGTAGATACCCCCCACACTGCCTGGTCCCCCCAAATTCTATGAGGAGAAGGGATGAGGGAGGGATTTGCTCAGCGTCACTGCGAGGAACCGGGATGATGACGGAAATTACACCAAGTAATTCCCCACGTCTTGAAGTGGGGCTGGACAGGAACCACTCCTGGGGTGCTGTAAGGCAAATGTTCTGCCTTGGAAGAGGTTGGTGATGCCCTTCCCACTGCCCAGAGTCTTGTTAAACTGGGAAAGTTTGGGGCTGGTTCAAAACAACTTTCTTCATGCACTGGATTAGGACAGGGACACTTGGGTGGCATGTGAGAAGCTGCAGCTTCTTGGAGAGGGTCATCTCCATCATTCCAGTGACAGCCCTGCACCTGGGAACCATGGAGACCTGCTGGAACAGGTACCATCATCCAAGCATCTTCATGAAGGCTCTGGGGATGAGGGTTGAGTTGTCCCCTCTGGGGTTTATGGGGCACGTGGGGCTGGAGAACGTGTCTCACGGTGCCGGTGTGACGTGTTGTGAGTTGAGATAGGAGCTGGGTGGGCTCCCAGTGATGCCTTGAAATACCAGAGGCATCAGATACAAATTTAGCAGCTCTTGACCTGATTTTTGGATTAAATTTTAACCAAATTATTGAAAGGAAGCAAAAAAAAATCCAACTCATGAGTGCTGCTGTGCCCCATGGCAGGAGATGGGGTGGGTGTCTTTACTTGTCGGATCTTTGTCTCATAACTTCAGAGTTTATGGAAATTAAATGGATTTTTATTCCTACTTTGGGGTTGTCATCTGTAAATGCTCATGTGGAGCCATCCCAGTAGGGTGGGAGTTGGTAAAAGGGGATCTCAATACAGTTGTGTCCTCCTGGTGTGATCTTCTCCATCACGTTCTCCACATCTCCACGGCGTCTTTAACACATCTTGGTCAGGCAGGTGCTTGAGCTGCTACAACTACACCACAAATTGATTTTTTTACTTATTAGGATTAATTTATCAATAAATGAATCTACCAGGGAATTTAAGGAGCAGCAAGAAAGAAAAACACATAAAAAAGTCCAAGTTGGAGCTGTGGTTTGTCCTTTCACATCATGAAACTCCACTGCAGAACCAATGTTGAGAAAAACTTTGGATTAGAGGAGAAATGCAATTTTTTTTTCTTCTCCACAAACCCAACCAACCTCAATTTCTGCTGTTTGGCTTCTGACAGGTTCACAGCCAACATGCCACGTGGTGTCTCACCCGTTTCAAACTTCTTCTTTAGCTTTTATCCACCAAGATGTGATCACGTAAAACCACATTTCTATTTCTTTTTATGATCTTTTGCATCAAAATAAACCCTACGAAAACATTTTAGAGCTTGGGATGTGGCTCACTTCAAGTAGAAGTTTGTGAATTAAAGGAGTCTTCAAGTTTTGGAGAAAAAATGTTGCCAAGTTCAGCAGAAGGTACCAGGTTGGTGGTCTTTGCTGCTCGTGGATGCATTCGTGGCATCGTTTGGCCTGGTTTGGGGAGGTGAGAATATTGAATCATTGAATGGTTTGAGTTGAAAGGGACCTTCAAAGATCATTTAATCCAACTCTCCTGCTTTGGGCAGGGACATCTTTCACTAAATGAAGTTGCTCAAAGTCTTGTCCAACCTGACCTTGAACACTTCCAGTGATGGGGCATCTTCTGAGCAACTTGTTCCAACATCTCACCACCCTCATCGGAAAAAATTGTCTTCTTTATGTCCAGTCTAAATCTACCTTCTTACAGTTTAAAACCATTGCTCCATCCTTCTTACCAGCCTCTTTTCTATATTGAAAGGCCACAAGAAGGTCTCTGAGGGACCTTCTCCAGGCTGAACAACCCCAACTCTCTCAGCTTTTCTTCAGAGCAGAGCTGTTCCATCCCTCTGATCTTTTTTGTGGCCTCCTCTGGATCTGCTCTAACAGGTCCATGTCTGTCTTGTGCTGAGGACTCTAGAACTGGACACAGTGCTCCAGGAGGTCTCAGCCCTCAGTACAGGGGCAGAATCACCTCCCTTGACCTGCTGGCCACACTGCTCCTGATGCAGCCCAGGAGATGATTGGGTTTTTGGGCTGTGAGCACACATTGCCAGCTCATGTCCCATTTGTCACCCACCAGTATCCCCAAGTCCTTCTCCACAGAGCTGTTCTCCATCCCTTCATCCTCCAGTCTAGATTGATACTGGGGGTTGCCCTGACCCAGGTACAGGACCTCACACTTGGCCTCAGTGAACTTCAGGAGGTTCACATGGGCCCACTCCTCCAGCCTGTCCAGGTTCCTCTGGATGACATCCCATCCCTCAGCCAGATCAACCACACCACTCCGCTTGGTGCCATCTGCAAACTTGCTGAGGGTACACTCAATCCCACCACCTATGTCACTCATGAAGACATTTAATAGTATTGGTCCCAGTATGGACCTTTGAGGGACACCATTCATTACTGGTTTCCACTTGGGAGATTGAGCCAATGACCTTTTGGACACAACCATCCAGCCAGTTCCTGATCCATCTAACAGTCCATCCATCAAACCCGTATCTCACCAATTTAGCAGATGGAATATTGTGTGAAACCACATCAAACGTCTTACAGAAGTCTAGGTAGATGACATCTGTAGCTCTTCCTTTGTCCACCAATGCAGTAGAAGACCACTACCTTTATCAGGTACAATTTGCCATGTTGGCCATCTCCAACCACCTCCCTGTCTTCCATATATTTCAGCAAGTGTTCCAGGAGGATCTCCTCCATCTCCTCCATCCAGGCAGGATGAGATGCCTTTCTTGAGGGCAGGAGGACAAGGAGTAAGGTAGTAGTAATGACTTAGTTGCAGGGAGTGCTGTCTTTTTTAATAAAATTAATTGAATTTGAGATGTTTTTTGTTCAAACTAGCGCTTAGCAACATGGTGAAGGTCATCAGCATCCTGGCTTTGGCGTTGAACATCCCTCTTCTCTGAGTGAACCTGAAAACCCGAAGTTCAAAAGCCTTTAGGAGGACACATGGAGATGGGGAATGGGCAGGAGATGGGGAATGGGTAGGGGGTTGGGTCAGCCATGTCATGGGTGGTAGAGCTGGATTTGGCCAAGGATTTTTGGCCAGATATGTTGAAGACTGGTGTGCAGGACACATTGTCCAGAAGACTGGTGTGCAGAAGACATGGAGACACCTAAGAATGAAATCAGAAGGCTGCGTATTTCAGAGAGATCAGCAGAATTGACTTGAGAGGAACCTGGGGACAGGGCAGGAATAAAATCAGGCATAAGGACAAAGGAGTTACCAGGTGGCTTGAAAACCTTGAGGACCACTGACCACCTTCAAGACCATGTAGATGCCATGAGCGTAGAGATGGGCAGGAGAGACAGGCAGGCTTGAGCACCATCTCCAGATTTTGCTAATTAATTAGGTGCCTCAAGAAGTTGCCCAAAGAGATCACACCTTGGTGTGACCCAACAGCACCATATGGCTACATCTCTCTTGGCTTGATACCACCAGCACCTTGGGGTGACAGGGTCAAAGCTGTAGGAGCTGCAGGCTCAGCACCCAGCTGTCTCACCAGCAATGTTCTGCCCAGAAAAAGCCTTTCATCTTCAAAGTGGTTGGCTAATTATCACTAATTGCATCCGTGCAGGTGCCGGGAGGCAAACGAAGCTTAATTAGAACACACAAAAGGCTCAGATCTTCTCCAGATAGACAAGCTTTGAGTTTCTCCTCCCTTGATGTGCAGCACCCCAAGGCTGAGAGCAGGTCTGGGCTTCCATCCCACTGCCTCGCTGCTGGAGCAAGACCCATCTGTAGGACCGTGGTGCGATGGGTCTGGTGAGTGGTGGCTGGTTTTTGTCTGGTTGACTTCTCATCCATGGTTCTGGGATGCAGGTAGCAGCTCCATGTTCATGTACACATCTCCAGAGCTGAGCAGAGGAGCAGAAACTGGTGCCCACATGTGACCCAAGCACTGAGCTCACCAATGAGTTGAGTTTCTCTGTGCTCACCCCCAGAGCATCATCCTGCCAGCTCCCTACTTCTCAAGGTCCTTTGGCATCCTCAAAGCACCAGCAATGAATCATTGAATCATCAAATATTGAGAGTTGGAAGGGACTCACAAGGATCATGGAGTCCAACTCCTGTCCCTGCACAGGACAAGCCCAACATTCACACCATGTCCCTGAGGGCCTTGGCCAAATGCTGCTGGAATCTTGTCAGGCTT